TCCTAAAAGACAGTGATTTAAACAAGACAGTAAAATTAAGACTAATTGATTTGGCTGTGGTTAAACTCAGTCTTAAATTTGTTAAAATGACTAAAATTGTCATATTTTTATTTTAATTTAATTGTTAAAAATAATTAATAATTAATATTTATTATTTAATAAATTAAAATTAATTTATAAATATTTATTTTCAAATATCATATCAAATTATTTTAAAAAATATGAATTAATAAAATTACAAATACAACGTGTAACTTTAACAAACAAAACAAAGGGAAGTAATAACCCAATCCAGTTGAACTTCACCAAGCGGCTTGATAATCACGTTTTTTTATTGAGATTGATGAACTATTCACTAAATATGGAAATCAAATCTCAGTTGCTAACATTTAAAAATACTAACCTACTAATTATTGATCTTATAAAAAAAAAAAAATCCAGTTGAGCTAGTTTGATTTGCACGGTACACAATTTATAGATAGTAACGCAGTTGATGTGAAAATAAATGCAAATGCAGCTTTACAGGGCAAGTTACTCACTTCCTTGACAAACCATTCTTAAGTCCCTAGACTTTACCAACTATAAGCTACCAGCCCTTGAATTAAAAAATGAGCACATTAGCCCTTGAACCCAACAATCCAAGCAAATCAACCCTTACGTTAACGGCAACACCAACGCCATCTTTTTATAGGGCTCCATGGCAAGTCCTTTTACGCGTTGGATCAATCCAACATGTCTTCTATAATTTATAAGTGAGTATTTTCTCGCTAAAGGAAAATATGTACAAAGCATTAATAATAAGAAAAATCTTCTTTAAAAGTCTGAGTGGTAATACATAGAACAAAAATTAAGGATAAATTTACGAATAATAATATGATATAAATTATGTTATTAAATAAGTTTATATATAAAATATTACAAGTTTTAATAAAGTAAAAAACTTAATAATTAAATAATATATGATCTACCTTATGGCTTATACTAAGTCATTAATTCTAAAATTTTCATTCAGTTTATCATATTATTTTTATTCAAATATCCTTATTTTAAAATTAAAAATTATTTTTTTAATTTAATTACTCATTAAGATACTTTTTTTGTTGATTTAATAATTTTTTTTTTGTGAATTCAACACCATAATTATAAACCTAAAATTCCAAATGTTCTGCATATAACTCTATGGATTTTTCTAATATATATTTTTGGACACTTTTTTAACATCAATTATCATTGAAAAAAATAAAATTTTATCTTTATTTAATTAATTAACTAAGAAAAATTATCCAAATGACAATAATGATAAAATTAATATCAATTTTTGTTATTTTCAATACAAATTAATGTTAAAAGGATATATTAATTAGACTCAATCCATGGGCACAAATTAAAAAATCTTATCTTTCATATAGAGTAGTGATACATTGGATGAAAACTAGGAATACAAATTTGAGACCAAAGAGGTGACATAAATTATCTCATTAAATGAGTTAATACATATAATATCATAAGTTTTAATAAAATAAAGAGAATTGATAATTAAACAATATAAATCCACCTTTTAATATTTTAAATAACATAATTTATGTTATGTTATTGGTCTCAAAATTTTCATCTCATCTATTATTGAGATAAAATTTTGAGATCAATAATATAATATAAGTCACACCTTTTAAAATATTAAAAAATAAATTTTATATTATTTAATAATTGATTTTTTTCACTTTATTAAAATTTATAATATTATAAATATTAATTTATTTAATTACATGACTTAATAGCGCATCATCATCCCAAATTTTTTCTCCCAAGTCTCACCGCTCAAACCTTTTAAAAAGATTCTTTTTATTCATGCTTGTGTTTGCATTCCCTTTCAAGTGTTCCCTTCAAGCGAAAAATTGCCCACCCATAAACTTATAGGAGACACGTTGGATGCAACGTGTGAATGGCTTGCCACGGAGCTCTGGAAAAAGACGGCGTTGGTGTCGCCGTTCGTGTAAGGCTAATTTGCTTCAATTGTTGGGTTCAAGAACTTATATATTCTCATTTTTTTAGTTCAAGGGCTGGTAGCTTATAGTTGGTAAAGTTTAGGGGCTTATGAAGGCGTTTTGCCGACTTCTCCCTTCCCATGTTAAACTTAAACAGACGGAGCAGCCCCTAGTTCCAGAAACCGCGTGTACAAAGTTAGCATACTCGAAGGCGAGTGGATGACACTAGAAAACAAACTAATCCCCTCTTTCTTTCTCAGCATACTCCTAGATCTCTCCTTCATTTGCCCAGCCACCCTTTCGAACTGTTGTCCGAAAACTTAGACTGAACTGGTGTTCTTACAGCTCCACTTTGCAGAAAAATATATAATCCTTTCTGTCTTAAATACATTGGAGACTTGGAGTGAAGTGAAAAAAAGAAAAAATTTTGAGGGAAATTCGAGAAAATCCCTGTAATTTCGGAGGTCATGGCCATGGCGTCATCGAAGGTTATAACGAACAATTCGCAGGCAAATCCGGATCTGCCACGTCAACCATCTCTTTGCTCGTCGCTCTCCTCACTCCTAGCGGATCTTCAGAACCAACAACAACCGCAACAGCTTCAGCAGAATCAATCCATGAACATGGACGATCTACTCAAGAACATCTACTCCTCTCCGCCGCCGCCAACTGCTACGGACGCCCACGCGCAGTTCCACGGCGCGTCGATCCCACGTGAGGACGTGGGGAGCAAGTCCTTTGATGATGTTTGGAAGGGGATCGTGGCGGGTGGTGGTGACCAGAGACAGGGCGGCGCGTCGGAGAAGATTACGTTGGAGGAGTTTCTGATGACCAAGACTGGGGCGGTGAGGGATGGAGAAGCGGGGGTGGTGGTTAATCAGGTAGCCGTGGGGAACGTGGGAACGGCGGTTTATGCTCCTGTGGAACCAGCAGTGATCAACGTTGGTCAATTTTCCGGCTTTGCGAATAACAGTGGAGTGGATCACCCGAGATTGGTGGGACCTAGTGGAGGCGGGAGAGGGAAGCGTCGCGCAATGGATGAGCCTCCGGTGGATAAGGCCACCCAGCAGAAGCAGAGGAGGATGATCAAGAACAGAGAATCCGCTGCGAGGTCTAGAGAGCGCAAGCAGGTAAGGTTTCTTTTAAGATTGCCTGAAAATAGGCATTTAGTGTTGGAGTTGTGTTAATTTCATAAAATTGGACCTGAATTTTGAATTAGAACAAAAAAGATTTGTTTTTTTCCATTTTTCTTGTTCTGTAATTGACCACTTTCTGTTTGGTTTCTGAGAAAGTAGAGGAAAATTATCAGAAGAAAATTGTCAAAAGCAAAGGCTATGAAGAAAATTGTCAAAAGCAAAGGCTATGAAGAAAATTATCAAAAGAAAAAGCTATCTATTGCTAATTTAGATTTCCTTTTAACTGAGAGGAAACTAAGAGAAAAGGAGGAAAGGAGAATCTTTGTTGTTAAGTTGCTACTGTTGAAGATGCAACTTGCTATAGTTTAAGCTGAGTGGAGGTTTTTTCCATTCATGTGTCTCAAAGTATCCAAGGCCCTACCTTTCCTTTGGATTTTGTCAAACTTCCTATATTGATACCACCTATCCGCGTTGGGAAGATAATGTTAGGTGTTAATGGTATATGTGGCCCAATAGTTATTGCTAACAACTTGAGTATAAGCTCTCAAAGTTCATGTAGACTTAGACATGAAGATGATTAGGCCAGTTTCCTATTGTGCGTTTCAGGTTCCGTAAGTAATTGACAGAATAAATTAATAGTGAAAAAGTTGAGTGTTTTCTTATTGTTAATTTTCTATTTGGAGACTAGGGAACCGCTTTTGCTTTGCTATCTAGTATGGTTTTTAGTTTTTTTTTTTTTTTTTTTTTGGGCCATGAGTCCTTTTCATAGTTGAATTTGAATTTTTTTTAAAAGAATTCTTGGCCGGTGGTTCTGATTTATCTTGAAATCGTAGAAATTTAGTTCCATTTTGTGTCTGATTATCATACAATACATTACCCCCTTATGATATGTAGGCTTATACAATTGAATTGGAATCTCTCGTAGCTCAACTGGAGGAGGACAATGCAAGACTCTTGAGAGAAGAGGTATTTGCTTGTAGTTTCCTTGTAGTGCCATGACAATATTATGCTTTAGCAATGTGTTATTGGAAAATATGTCTCTAGGATTTTCTATGCAGTCATGGTTGCGATGTGCTAAAGAATTTTTTATTGCTGCAAAGTTATTAGTAAAGTTATATTCTCAGATGAAACTTTAACCGTGTGAATTTTTTGTTGGATTGACAAAGATGCCTGCAAAGTCATATGCTGACTTGATTCCTTCCTAAGATGTACTTACTGTCAATCCGTCATAAAAATCAAAGTAAGAGGAATGCTTGAAGGGCATATGTTCTAAGTTTATTTTGAATAGAAAGAAGGTATAACTTTATAGGACTTGCTTTATGAGAGTAGAATTTGAAACAAAGGGGAAGTTTCCAGCAGTTATGCAACCTGAAGATTCTATAACACGGTTACTCTTATCACTTAATGGCTGCCATTGATGATGGACATATCTGTATAAAATTGATATAGCCAGATGGATGAGTTGATTATTCTAATTTTTTGTCCTTCATATCCTTTTGCAAGGAAGTTAACGATCCTTTCTTTTGCTCTATTTGCAAGACACAATGATTTTATACTCATGTAATAAGAAAGGGAAATATTTATCATTTGCTTCTCTTTTATGTGCCAATATACTTCTCTCTGCAAGGAACTTCATTTCTTACTTCGTTTTCATCCCATTTTCTTAGAAGTTTCTAATGTGTTTAAATTTTCTGCTTGCAGGCTGAGCTGAACAAGGAAAGGTTCCAACAGGTTTGTCTCTTTTCTTTTGTATCTGAGACTATCAATATCACGGGTTAAACAACATTTCAAAAAAATGGTTTCTAATGTCAAATAGCTGAGTGAAAATGTATTGTATTAAAAAGGGTTGTATGTTGTCGAATGTTGCTTTTATGAAAGCATTTGCATATGACGAGGTGCTTAGTGGAACCAGGAAAATATACTCAGTAAGAAGCATCTGAGAATATAAATTCATTGATCTCCATCATTATATTTTAGGTTTATTGTTCTTTACTGCCACTGGTTGCTAATGTACTACCATGACAGAACACATTGCAACAATAAGCAAAGTTCAAAAGACATACAATCTTCAGAAATCACAATTTTGTTTTCCATTAAGGCATTATCGATCCTTGTATAATGTATCTGTTGCAAATCTGACTGCCTTTCATGGTTGATTGCAATGCAGCTAATGAAGAACCTCATACCGGTCGAGGAGAAGCCAAGAATACCTCGTGCTCTTAAAAGGGTGAATTCTGTGGAGTGGTAAAAGGATTTTGCGCTTTTCTGGCTTGTTACTGAAGTTGCTTATCAGCAAGGAACAATTTAGCTGGGGGACGAGGAAAAATGAAATTACAGGTTTCATACAGATATCCTCAGAATTTAAATGGCTGTTAAATTCCCGAAAATCGTCTCATGTATTTGCATAGAGCAGGTATTGTAGACATGAAAAGATCATCCATAGAAAATTTGGTTATTCTCTTTTGGATACCGAGGAAATGGTGTAAAGTAGGTCTGGTTTGGTAGGCTGTACAGATCCTTACTAATTATCGTATTTAAATATTCTTGCTAATTAGCAGAGTATTCATATGCCATATACCAGTCCCCACTCTTAATTTTTGAGAGTCCTATCCTCCTAACCAGTCATTTGGATTATTGGAAATGTTATGATTACAATATCATGTTTGAGTTTATAATTACAACATGTTATTAAACAAATTTAGCATATTATTAAATAGGGCTTCATTTAATCAGATAGAGGTTTTGAGATTTTAGTTAGTAATAATCTATTATGTAGATAGGATAAATATTCAGAATTTGTATATCCAATTAAGTTAGATTTTAAGTGTTTTGAATATGATAATCATATAACATGTCCCGTAAAATTAAAAGAAAAAAATGTGAATTCAAAAGGAATACTATACATACTGTACTCTTTTTTTCTTGGTTATAGTTTTTCTCACTGGGTTTTTTCTCCTAGCAAGCTTTTTAATGAGGCAAGTAATTCAATAAATTAAGTTTGGAGTTTGAGATATTTGATTTAAGACTTTATACTTAATAAGTTGAAATTTTTAATTTTTAATTTTGATTTTTAATTATTAATTTTGATTATTTAAATTTTAAAAGTTAAATAAATGCAATAATATTAGAGGTGAATTTTTAAATAAAAAAACTAATTATATAACATTTGATGTTGTATAACTTACAAATTGTAATTTTCATCCGGATTATAGAACTTCTTAATTTTTTTATTATAACTTATAAGGGGTTATTTAACTTTTTATAAACACTATGAATGGGCAGCAAGCAACCATGCCTACAGTGGTCACCACCCAGACTTCTTAGACCCATACGGTGAAAGCAAATAAACGCAGAAATGTTAATTGAACAAATATAAAATGAGAGTTTGATAATCATGAATTGAAAAGAAAGATGACATGGATTTGAGTTTTACAATGATGTGAGCCCGTCATAAGGGCCACAATTAGGTTTACAACATCATCAAAGAACTAACAATTTGCTAACTTAACAATGAAGGTTCTTGATGAGATGTGGAAATGAAAAGGAAAATAAATGTCAAAGTCAAGATTGTCATTCATCTTTTTATGCATTTTGCTTCTATTCACAAGCCAATTTTGTGTCAAAGCTGCTCAGGCAAATAGCAAAAGCCTGAAATGCAGATAGAGGATAACGGTAATCCATGGTGAACATATCTTTGCCAACCTTGCCGAACTGCAGGATTATCTTATCATATTCAGCTGGGGCCGGCTGTGACGGAGTGGGTGCACCAGCAGGTGGCTGGGTAGCAGCAATCAACTGAAAGTTCTTTACTGAAGCAACAGTTACTCGTCCACGGAAATTCAGGCACCAACATTGTAATTGTTCATGCCATCTTGGTGGCTTGTTTTTGAGGATCAGGGGCTTGGCTTTACCATCATCTTCATCATCACCAAGAGAAACACCAATTTCTGAAAATCGCGAGCTACTGAACTCCAGAGAGTGATCAAGGGACTTTGAAAAGGAGATGCTCCTGAATGAGTCCTCTAAAGGATGCCGAAGAAGCTCAGGTTGGCCAGGTACAATGCCACCAGCATCCAGTGCAGAGGCTGGGATAGAGTGCATGATGCAATGCATCCTTCTTGGGCCCCGTGTGCCAAGAACATTGAGCTCATAAGTAATCTGAGCTATGTTATAACTGCCAGTAGGGACTTTAGGTGAAACCCTTTTGGAATTAAATCTCTTGCTTGTTCGTCCAGGTGGGGGAATATGGGCAGAGGTATAAGCTGGCTGCGTGTCATATATTATGAATTTTGTGCCAAGGAAGTTTGATCTGAATACAAAAGTAAAAATATTGCAAGTTAGTCATTGAAGAAATAGTTTCGAGGTAATAATTTGCAAAATCTTCAATCAGGTAATGAGGAATCCTTTCCTATTTAGCTTGATTGACGAAAGCAATGTACTCAAAGCCAGAGGAGGAAGCAAAACCAACCAGAATGGCAAGGCAACTTGCAAAAGTTTCAACTCTATCCTGTCATATATCTAACTTCTAGAAAAATAAAAGGAAATCTACCAATCTTTATAGCTTCCATTTTTCCTTTTTTTTCCCTCATTTTTTTTTTTTTTTTTAATTTAGTTCATGAAGCAGTAGTTTTATGAAATTTTGTGAAGCATCAGATATCAAAGGGTTGATACCTAATTCCAATTACCAACATTGTTACTCCAAGAAAATGGAAAGGATCAAATTCAAACAGGAAACTTTTTTCAAAAAGGACAGCATTATTTGTCCACTATGATCACAGAAGTTTATTTATGGGCACAGATACGAACCTACTGTGCTCCCAAAAACAAAGAGAAAAGAATGAGGAAAATCTTTAAGAGGATTTTCCAAAGAGAGTTCCATTTCACATTCTTACCTCAGCTTACCAATGTAAGTGTTGCTTGATCTTGAAATGTTGTCAGCATGCATAGAGATGATATACTCTGTTGAAGTAGTTCTTCGGGTCCTTTTTGCAGAAAGAAGAAATTTCCCATTTTCAACTAGCAATGCTGCACAAGGAAATAACAAGTTAAGAGACAGCAAGGAAAAAATCATCAACAGTGTGTCATGTCTAGCAAACCTCAAATCTATTTCACACAAAGTATGCAAGAATTACTGAATTAGACTGTATACAACTTACAAAAATCATACAGCGGTTTAATATTGTATGGTCCCAAATGCCATAAAACTACCAAAAACATTCACTTGACCTTTACTAGCAGACGAGAAAATTCCAAGACCATGTGAACCTTGCCAACAAGTTTTGCCATTCAATCTACTGGGATACAAATAACATAATTGCATCAACCACAGAACATACATGATTTTTTCATCTGCTAGCAGAATAAATCCTTCATGCAACACTATAGCCAAGGATGTGCAGGCATATACATTCTTCAATTTCACCTTATAGAAATAACTAACCCACTATTCATGAAATCAATATATTAGATTTACACCTTATAGAAATAACAGATAATGAAAACATAAAACTCAACAAAATAATAGCAGCAAAGTGGTTGAAAAGGATGCTGCTTACCAGAGCTAAGACAGAGAAAGAGGTGATAAGTTAATTTAGATTTATCCCTTTTGATGAAACACTGAATAATTTCATCACGTGGTCCAGGCTGAAAAGTTTAAAAATGAGTTAGTAAGTGAAGCACTGAACATGATGGTCTGCACCTACAAATTTGAACATAATCCAAGCCTAAATACCCAGATACAGAATTAGGGCAGTCTCTTTACAAGAATCAAATCAAACTAAAGAAAATAATATTCCACATTAGATGAACCAAAACAATCCTACCTGCTTCAGAGACACTGGGAAAGTTAGCTTTCCACAGAACTCAGGGCTCTTAACAATTTCTTTGCAGATAGCTCTCCAAGATCGGCAAACAGCAGCACATGCAACAACATGCTTTCGGGCAGGCCAAGTACTCTCACTCTCTTCCAACCTTCTGATTACATCACAGAGTAACTCAGGAGGAAGATTAGCCCAACAACTGTCCTGAATAATAACAGGCTCATCATGCAAATCCTGTAAAGAACTCTGAGATTTTCCTCTGTGATGGCCAATCAGCCTAACATCAAAACTACGCCTAGACAAGCTCCCGAAACTATCCCGCACATCACGAACAATGCTACGGAATGACATTTTTCAAACAGATAGCAAAACCAGAATGCTTATGTATCTGTCTCCTTGAACACTTTCTGATAGATTACACTCCCACGATCATGCGCATATGGCTGTCATTATAAAAAAAAAAAAAAAAAAAAAAAAAAAAACTCATTTTCTGGCAGTAAGCTTACTGAAAAAGAAACAAAAGATAGGAAAAAGAATAGAAAAGGCACCTAAAGAGAAAAAGGGTATGAAAGAGGGAGAAGTAAATAGATAAAGGCAGCTTCAGAAGGCCTATAAAGTTGTGTGTATAGAGAAAACTTTATTCAGTAAAACCTATATCTAGATACATTACACAGTATCATCCTTTTTAGGTGCTTACCTCAAATTAAAAGCAAACTGAGTTCTAACCAAATACGATATCCAAAGAATCTACCCCATGTTGTTTATCTTCATGAAAGAAATTATGTAGTCATAAATAAAGCTTTTAGTATGAATTTGTGTTCCTCAGCACAAAACTATTGTTTGGACATACCAAAGGTGATCATTATTCAACAGTTTTCAAATTTTCATTTTTAGACGCCAGGTATTTAGGTCAAAATTAGAAATGAAATGAAATACCCACCAAGTTTTTACATTCCTGCAAAAGAAATCTACATCTAGAAACAGAAATTCTTAATTAGCTATTGAAACAAGTCATAAATTGTCACCTAGGTAGGAAAATAGAAGATAATTTGAGCTTTGTTGCAGAAGTCAAAGTACATATTCAGAGGAAATAAGCAAGAAGAGAAGGTAGAACTGCTATTAATATTTCTCACCTATTTTGTGTTTATCCCCTAAACAAAAAGCATTTCCTCCATAAATGTCATGATTATACCAAAAAATTCTACATATAAAACATCAAAATGCATACCCATCTACCACAAAATAAGCACAAGAAGACTTACCCTCCAATTAAAAGCTCATCAAACCTTCATATCATACTCAGGAGCCATAACTTACCAAGGATCTGAAAGGAAAGATAAAAAATTTGGAACAACCCCCTTCCCAAAACCACAAATAAACAAGAAAGAAGAGGAAAATGGACTGGGTTTCAACAGGGGGAGGATTTCAGAGGGAAAAACCAAAGCCTTGGTGGAAAAACTTGGGCAAAGGCAGATTTGAGAGAGAAACAAGATCTATCTAATGTAGCTGAAACATGTAACGAAATCAAAAGAAAGAAAATGTCTAAAACAAAATTCACAGAACTTTTGTAATAAAATCAGATCAGAAAATTAAAAAAGAAGATGGATCAGAGTCAGAATTGGTAGGAACAGTGTTGGTTTCTTTTTTCAGAGTCTCCTAAAGGATTCTCTCTCTATCCGGACTCCACACAGGCATTAAATTCAGCTCACGGGACGCCAAAGAAAAAGCTACTGCTAATGTACAACATTTCTTTTTCTTTTATTGTTTCTTTGTTTATTCAGAACAGTGATTGTTCTTTTTTCCATGTCATCTGGTTTTTGTTTCTTTAATTTAATTTAATGGGAAAATGAGAAAGAAAAAAAAATTTTAATTTGTATTGAAATTAATAAAAGTCGATATAAATTTTATCATTAATTTTATTATATTAATAATAAATTATTTTAATTACTTTATTGATTATATATATTAATTTTTATTTTTTAATAAAAAATATAAATAAAAATATTAATTTTATAATTTTTTATTTAAAACTATTAACTTTATATTAATTGTTATATTAGTATTATTATTTAATTAATTATTAAATAAAAATTAATATTTTTAAACGCACTTGGCCTGGCCTGTGTGGCCCAGTAGCTAGAGCCTCTGAAAAGTGCACATCCCCCTCTCCTGGGCGGGTTTCGAACCGGCCTCATGACAAAAATTGTTCAAAAAATTAATATTTTTAAACAAAAAATTAAAAACTTATTATTTTAATTAAAAACTAATAAAATTCACATTAAAATAAAAAATTATAGAATTGCTATTTTTATATATATTTGTTTAATATTAATTCATTATAAAATAACATAAATTGAGCATTTGGACCTCACAGCCTAACGATCATAAATTGATTTGTAAGGTGTATCTTTCAACTCGAGAGTTAGGGTTCGATTTCCCCCTCTCCTATAATTGTAACCTTGTTAAAAAAAACATAAATTAAAAAAATAAAAAATAATTTAAGAATAATTTTTTATTATTTTTTATATAATTTAATATGCCATTGAAATAATTACTTATTTTTATTTATTTAAATTTTATAACATTAAATACATTTAACTTTCTAATAACATATAAAAATTTATAAAAAAAA